GCACTTACGTGGATAGCTTCTCCCTCTCCTTAGCCCTTCGCTGCAGGAAAAGACACGGCCACTTAAAGGCAGAAAGAGCATCTAGCAATCCCATAGGACCTGAGAATCTCCCTGGAAATTAGAAGTATATTTAGGAGCTTGGTACTCCATGTAATATAGACGGAAACTTCCTCCCCTTCATACATACAATTCTCCAATGAGTTCTGCCTGTTTGTTTCTCCTTTGCCCTGTATTTTCAGTTAGCCTTTTGTGCACAGCGATTCTTCTTGACTTGGTTGTGGTGACCTAGGCTAGATCCTCATGGGCCGTGAAGTGCATAGCTCCATAGACTTCCGGAGTTGAACACGCTCAAAAGTGCCTGAGTGATTTACGAGTCATGCCAGGTTGACACTACAACATTTTGACAACATAGCTGAGTTGGCCAGGGGTGCGAAACACCCACTCCCCTCCAGCCGACAAGCTATGCTGGCAAACCCCCTATTGTATCTACAGCTACGGTAGCATCAGAGGGCTGTTGGCATCACTAACATCATGAAGGGAGGCGGTGTTCCTGTGCCAGCAGAAAAGCTCCTGTTGGCATCAGCTGTCTCTACACTGACGGTCTTTCCCAGTAGGGCCTTGCAAATCCGTGGCAATCCACTTTATATCCACGGGCATCCACAGCTCATTTTTCAGATGAAGAGGCAAACGTGGGCACCAATGTTGTATCCGTGCAGGGCTCGACAGACAAGGCCGAAGTCCCATTTTGAAAAGTGACAGAGGCACTCATGAGCCTAAAAGTCTCAATAAAAGTCAAGGGGACTCTTTCTCAGGGCCTAGAGGGTTGTAACTGTAATCAGGACTGCACTACGCTAGGTTAGCCATTCAGGCTAAACATATGAAATAATGGTCAGGCGGGGAAACTGAGGCAGGAAGGGCCTAGCTCAAGCAGGGCAGTGGCAGCCCAGGAGTGGAACTGAGGCATTCTGAAGCCAGTTCAGGGCCCTACCCACCAGGCCATGCTGCCTCATCAACTTATTTTTAAATGAGTCACAGATAATTATTTTAATTACTGGTTGCCGCATGAAACATCCTGTTTTGTCCCTGTCTTAAAAATGCACCAGTTCCTTTTTCCCCCGAAGTCATAGCAGCTATGTCGTACGAACTGATCCCTATACATAACTTCCTCCACATAGACCTAAATCATTTGGTTGGCCTGACCTGTCCCTTTGATTCTCACAAACATTCCTTCGATGATAAGGTGACTGCAGAATTGCTCACAGCCCTGGACATTCAATGTGATCTCATTAGGGCTTCCGCTAGAACTAGGGATGCTGCAGCCATGTGGCCGATAGATTCCCTGCTGTCCCCCATCGCTCAGGCATGCCCGCACACTCAGCAGTTCGTGTTCCAGATAATGTTACTGCAGGTCTCCAAGGGAAGGTACCGCACGAGCCTGTTGACAATTAAAGCCTCTTTCTCAGCAGCTTGTTAGGACACTAGCAGCCATTCAGCTGTTCCCTGGAGAGAAAGGCACCTGCACGGGCCTCGCCATTTTCTAAAAAAACAGCTTTGCTTGTCGACTGGAGCTTTGCTTTGCTCCTTACTGGAGACGTGGAGGTGGTTCTTCTAGGAAGGAAAGTGTTGGAGGACAGGACAGGCCACCTAATTGTCTGTCAACTGCTGAATGGAAGCAAAATTACCTGCATTTGCCTGCTCTGCTGACATCAATTTCATTTCAATTCTCCAAATACTGGAAAGAAATTTGCTCTTCCTAATGCACCTCTTTTTTTTAGTCTCCTTTTCCTCTCTCTTGTTTCATTTCCTTTCCAGTTTCCACTCTACTTCTACCTTCATTATATTTCCCCTTTAGTAGTTTCTTTCTTTCTTTCTTTCTTTCTTTCTTTCTTTCTTTCTTTCTTTCTTTCTTTCTTTCTTTCTTTCTTTCTTTCTTTCTTTCTTTCTTTCTTTCTAAAGGATGCACAAATCGCCTTATCTTATTTTGATTCTTTTTCAAAATAGCCTATTTTGAAATGTAGCATATCTACACAGTGCCAAATTTTGAAATAAAACACTATTTGGAGACATCCCTTATCCCTCGTGCAAGGAGGTTTACAGGGATGCCGAAATAGCGTGTCCGCTATATTTTGCAATAGCAGACGCATTCAAAAGATGCAGGGTAGCTATTTCAGGATAGCTCTGGTATCCCGAAATAGCATTGCAGTGGAGACATAGTCTCTGTCTCTCTTTCTCTCTGTCTTTGTCTCCTGAATCCCCTGCCCTTTTTTGTTCTCTTGGCCACTGCTGGCAGACAGGATACTGGGCTAGATGGACCTTTGGTCTGACCCAGTGTGGCTGTTCTTATGTTCTCCTTGCTGGGAGTTGTTTTCTTGGTAACCGACTGCTAGAAGGAGAGAGGGAGAGAGAAGCTGATAATTAATTAATTACATCTCATTTGTTTCTCTATTTTAAAGCCTGTCCTTGGACTGTTAATCAGACACTATTGTATTTTTCAGCTCTGCTTGATTTTTGTGTGCAGTGTTCTCCTCCAGGGCATTGTGGGTAATGCCTTGTGACAGGGCGCATCAGCCCTGCCTTGGTTCTGTGAGGGTTAATCCCACTCTTTGGGTCGAGGAGACCACGATCCCATGGCCCTGCTGGGCATGCTCCGATAGGGGACCAGATGTAAAGGGGAATAGCTCAGCTCATGTAGGGTGGCTGGACAGAGCGGCAGGACCAGTGGTGGAGACCCTGCCCTTCCCTTGGCCTGGAAGCCCAGCACACCCATGAAGCCCAGAAATGCCTGGAGCAGCCCTGGCCTGCGACACACTGGGCCCGCCATGGACAGGGCCTGCTCAGGATATCCATGGTGGACCCCATAGAGCTGGAGCAGCCCCGAGGCCATGGCGGTCTGGGGGCTACTCCAGCCCCCACCAGTAAACCAGAACCAGTAAGTATCACCCACTAAGGGTGTTGCTTACCAGTGAACTGGTTAACCTTTCACATCCCCACCCGACTGAGTCAGTGCATTGCGACTGGATTCCCCACAGGCCACCCCTCTGCTGGGGGGGCGGAGTCTGGGGGAAGAGAGCCGCTGCAGCTGACTCTGGCCATTGGGCCACGCTGCCCTGGAGGCAGACTACTCAAAGAGTATG